AATCAACTAGTAATGTATCACTGACTAATTAATTAATTAATTAATTAATTAATTAGTTAGTTAGTTAGTTAGTTAGTTAGTCAGTGATACATTACTAGTTGATTTCCTACTTCGCTAGAAGTTGGACTCAGCAAGCCATGGGATCTCTCTGAGCTGTATGATTCTATTACTACTTAAAAGGGGAGGGAGGGGAGGGAAAGGAACTGAAAATATAATGGAGACTTGAATACCTACCTGTTAAAACTTGTGGCTATAGCTGTCACCTATCATGTATGTTTGAAAAAAGGGATGGAATGGTAAAGGTAAAGGTTCTCCTTGAAATCAACTAGTAATGTATCACTGACTAATTAATTAATTAATTAATTAATTAATTAGTTAGTTAGTTAGTTAGTTAGTTAGTCAGTGATACATTACTAGTTGATTTCCTACTTCGCTAGAAGTTGGACTCAGCAAGCCATGGGGTCTCTTTGAGGTGTATGATTCTATTACTACTTAAAAGGGGAGGGAGGGGAGGGAAAGGAGTTGAAAATATAATGGAGACTTGAATACCTGTTAAAACTTGTTGCTATAGCCCTCACCTATCATGTATGTTTGACAAAAGGGAAGGAATGGTAAAGTTCATTTATTTTTCTCAGTTTTTTTTAGTAAAAGCAAAAAGTAAAATGTATCCTTTGCTGCTGAACAAACTCTTGCTGTGTTGAGTGTTTTTCTGTTCTCTTTATCCTTCTTCTCTAGCCCTTTCTTCTTCATACTATAAGTTAAAGCTAATTATATTGTATTACTCTAATGTTCATGAGCACTGATTAAATTGGGCTGCTTAACTGCATAGCCAGAGTTTCAGTTTATTATATTTCCTAGATATAGTGATTAAAGTAATTCAGTACAGAAAGAAGTAGAGCAAGCTGGGCATGGGAAAAAAAGGACTACATTACTACCTTCTGATCTTTAAAATGAGGCTATCCAGCAAAACCAAGACATGAAGACTTTTTGAATGAAGACATTTTGCTGCCTAAGGCAAAATATAAGATGGTGCTGACTCCATCCCATATTGCAGAGAAGCTGGCCAGAATGGTGTCATTCACTGTACATAAGAGCAGAAGGTGAGGTTAGGGGCAGGGCACATGGCACAGATAACTTGACCACCCAACATCGTGCTGCTGCTTCCTGCACACCAATATCCACTCTGGAGGCAAATGCATCATTGTGCCTAATTGCAGGGCCAGCTCCGAGAGCATCCTCCGACTTCAGTGATTAGTGCAAAGGGACTCTTTAGGGACCCTATTTGTGAGATCTGCATTCACTTTTACCAGCTGGTGGTATATCATCATTTATCAGTTTAAGCTTACCATTGGATATGGTATCACTAATAGACACATTTGTGATTCACATGTAGCATATGCATAGAGTCCACGATAACTGTGTTGACAAAATAATCCCCTTCAAAATGGGTCTAGTTTTGTCAAGGTAGAGAGAGCCATATGATCTCAGTCAAAGCAAGCATCAGGGGTATTACTAATTAAAGACCCTAATGATGCAAACACAAATGTTTCTATTTTTCAGTTGCAGAAAATTCTCTTTGGCAATTCTGATTTTAAAAAACCACTAGCTCTTGAAAGCTTTAGGGATCGGGGCACAAATGGTAAGGTGAAGAGAAGTAGAGAACGCACATCTCTGTACTAAAGATGTGCCAGTTGAGAGTCTACACTACAGCATCTGTAGGGCTAGGCAGGTCCCACCATGCCAACTAAATGCCCAGAAATGCTAGCACTGGATAATACTGGGCAAGTATTTCTCTGTCAATCTGTCTTTCTGGCAAAAGAGTCATGACTGCTGTCTGGAGCTCATATTTGCTGCCAGCAACTTCTTCAGTGTGATGGGTGTAAGTGAAACAAACAAGTACAGTATATTTCTGACCATTGTGTTGACTGGCTTCCTAGTTGACCAGTTCTTTATATATTCTTTATATATCCCTGCTCCTTGGTATCTCTTACAATATCTCTCCAATTACATTCTAGCCAACCAACTTCTGTGGTGATGCAGCAAACTGGTGTAGCTAAGTCAGACCTCTGACTGCTGGAGCCAGGATATGTTTTCAAAAGATCAGGGCCATCCTCAACTCCATTACAACCCCCTGGGCAAAATTCATTCTCTAACAGTACTTGTATCACATTCTGTAAATGAGATTGCCTTAACATGCCCTTCCTAACAATTAATTTAGAAAATAACTTGGGAAAAGTTAACAGCCCTTTTTATGCTGGTTGGAGGATTCTCGAAAGTGTATTTAAAAAAATAACAGAAGTTATTTGTGTTTTTCTCTTTATAGAGTAAACCTTTGCTGACCTTAGCCCCCAAATTTATTTGTTTTAGCGGACAGGAGTATTTCATAAGTATAGTTGAGAACAAGATCACTGAAGTGCAAGAGCAAGTTCAATGAGACACAAGTACAGAAGGTAACAAATTCCAAATAAATACAGAAAAATAGTCTTTGCATAGTTCAGAAATGAACATCATGTGGCACTAGTGTGCTGCGTGAACTGGCACACAACAAGCACATCAATCCACATTTTAAGTTGAAAGGTTGCAGCTGGAAAAAAATATATATATTTAGATCCAAAAATCTTACGAGGGAAAAACTTAGAAGCAGATTTTAGCATGAGTGTTAAAGTAGTTATACTTTTCTTTCCTCAGTCAGGCCATGCTCTAAAGTGTGTGAGTGTATATTTGAAGGTGGAGTGACTTATATGATCTGTCTTGGCATGCCATATCCTGTCATTCCAGACTGGGATGCCCCTTTATTACTCCCCATTTGGAGGCCGATGACATTCTGTCCTTGACGAAGCTGCTCTTCTGAAAATCCTCGCCGATTCCTCTGTGCTTTTCTGGAAAGAAGATTGCAATTTTTAAAAAAGACGACAGACCTATTATTTAGAATTGTCCACTGTAAAATATTAAAACTAAGTAACATGTCAATTGGAACCATGTTGCCATAAATGTATGTTATGCTAGCCGTATGATGTCATGATCTAGTAATAGATATCTTTAGTTCAATTAACTTTAAAACTTCCTATTTATTTTTATTTTTATTTATTGTATTTATACCCCGCCTATGTCTTTCAGGTGCTGTGGTACTCTTTGGATCCCTTTTGCCTTTGGGAGCCTAGGGATGGAGGATGGAGCCTTTACTATCAGAAATTCCCCACCAGATTGCTACCAGCAGTCTCAATCCAGCAGCAGGCCCAGAATTTTCCTATATTAAATGCTCCCCTTCTGTCCCGAGGCTCCCAAAGGCAAAAGAGATGCCATGGAGCCTCAAAACCTGAAAGGGTGGGGCTTTTAACTTAATCTAATCTAATTAATTAAAATGTAATTCAGTAAATTTACACCAACAGGATTTCAGCCATAATGAGACAAATGGTAAATAACAATTTTATGTTTTTTACCTTATTCATTTATCTTGGAATAATTCCAAGCTCAAATTCCTCTCTGCTTCACCCAAAACATCCCTCTCCATTAAGAAAAGAAAAGAGAAGGAAAAAGAAAAGAAGCAGTTTTTTTCCTACTGATTTCACTCAGGAGAGGTTTCTGAAACACTTTTGTGGGAGCAAAGGGGTGCCATTTATCTTGCTCAACCTTATGAGGTAGCTAAGAGCTTGCTATTTTACTCTCTGCCAGTGAAAGAAGGCTGTCCCGGAGCCTCATGCTGTCTTCCCCAAATGCCTTGGGACGTGATACAACACCATTCCCAGGAAATTTAAAGAAGTGCATATGGTGTGAAAGCACTGTTATGGGCAGTGCAGATTTTTCTTAAGGTTCTTGACCACAACAATAGATAGATAGAAAATCCTCAGTTGAACATATAATGTTGAATGAGAGAAGCAGAAACCACCTCAATACTCCAGAGAAATATCTCTCTCAATATTTTGCAGGGGGACATATTTTCAGAGAGGAATTCAAAATATTCACCCTAGTTCTGTCTTCAGACATAGTTAGAGAACCATAGGACATCTAGCAAAGATAAAATTAATAATATAACAATTAAACAGAGACATGCACTGGTCAAATTATTCTTCCTCTTGCTGAAATTTCTCAAGATTAGAAAAACAGATCACCTTGGAATGGTTCTATTGATGCATTAGCCATACCCACAAAACAAATGGGGGGGGGAGCTCTTTTAGCGTAGCCAAATCGATGCAACATTTTTTCAGTGGCAGAGCTCTTAAGTAATCTGGCTACGATCCAGCAAAATACTTAAGTAAATGTCCAAATGATCTGCTAGATTAAGGCAAGAATGTGCAATACTGAGGGCTATTGTCCCAGAAGCTGGTGTTACAAAATGCATAAAATGCCAGCTTTGGCAAGATTTCTGGCCATTTTAATTTGATTTGTGTTTACTAAAAACCAGTGGTATACTGGAGCAGAAATATGGGAGGAACAAAGTTCTGGCACATTTTTTCAGCTGATCCTGATAAAGTGGGTATTAGTATTACTATTCCAGACACTTTTGCTCTTTGTCTGTTTGTTTGTTTGTTTGTCCATCTGTCTACCCATCCATAACTAGTGTGTGCAGTTACTGATCAGTTCAACCACACAGACTGGCATGAGAAGTTCCCATACTGTACTTCAAAAATTTAGTCCTAAATCCCAGTCTTAAAGACTAGCTTTCATTACAGGTTCTGGATTATCTATTTTTACACAAGTTTGGGTGAGACCAGGGAGCTGGGAAGTCAAGTTCCTGATTGCACCAGAAAGGGTTGCTTTAGAGCAGTGATCCCCAACCTTGGGCCTCCAGATGTTCTTGGACTACAACTCCCAGAAGCCTTCACCACCACTTCTGCTGGCCAGGATTTCTGGGAGTTGAAGTCCAAGAACATCTGGAGGCCCAAGGTTGAGGATCACTGCTTTAGAGGGAGTGATCTGCCTTAAAGTGCCTCTTCCAATTGCCAGGAAACCTTTCCAGCCCAACCCCAGAAAGTAATAGTCATATACAGTAGCTGGACTAAAAAAGTCCATTTTGGGAATGGATCTGAGTTGAGCTGGAGCACATTTTCCTGTACATTGTGTGATCACTGGGAAATAGATCACACTGGCCTACTCCACAAGTGGTCCAACATGTGATCTACTTCCCCGTATGATCACACCCTCAGATAACTTTAAACCCCTTCAGTACAGTGTCCTTCTTATAACTTCCTGGAGGAGATACAGTACTGTGAAAAACGATGTATAGGGCACAATGTATTTATTAATTTAGGATTTTGAAGACTTTTAAAAGGAAATGTTCATTTCTCATCAAGAAGGTGACTTTATGTGCCACATTTTTAGCAGTTCATTCATACCGATATATTCTGCATGTCTTTAAAAGCATACTCCTATTTATTCAAATATTCAGTCATCTGGTAGATGAGAAGAACCTGCTCCCGCTTTCACACTGGAGTGTAGTGGGAAATGCTTCTGAGGTTTAGAAGCTTCAATGGACAATTGCTTGCAAGTTACAATTGGAAGCAAGTTGATTTGACAGAATATTGCCTCAGCAGCTTGCAACATGTATATGCATATCTATACTGCCCATATCCGTGTGCCTAAAGAATTCTGTGAAGAACTCTTTACCCTCATGGAAAATTTAGATTTCTGAGAATTTCCATGTCACATGCAATTTAATTGTCCTGAGCACTTATGTCTTTTGCAAAAAAATCTCTTTGCTTTCTTCCCTGTCCCATTCAAAAGAGAAGCATTCCACAAAGAATTTTATACACACTGGGAAACATAAAAAATGAAATCAGCACAACCAATTTCTTCATCTCTGCAATGTTTTTGCCATTTAATACTGAATGTATCAATGAGTCAGCTTTGCAGAATCTGCCAAAAAGTTCAAGAGGTTGCTTACAATAAAATGTTTTATTGTGACCTCTAGATCTAGGACCATAATGAAATGCTTGAAAAATTCCCGTCTCCCAGTATTTTCAAAGTCCATACAATGCTCAGAGACTTAAGGGGGTGGATGCAGTGAATGTTAGAATGTTTTCATTTAAATCACATATTTCCTCTAGTTCCTGAAAGAGATCTCAAAACAACCAAGGAATAGGGTAAGAGACACTTACTTATGGAACCAGGAAGGATCCCCTTTGTAGCATCCATCATCCCTTGTTACAGCTTCACTGCCTAAAGCCATTAAGGTTCTTTGTACAGCAGCCATATCTTTTCCTTTAAAAAAGGGAAGAGAGAGAGAATGAGAGAAAGAGAGACGCTCTTTATTGCTCTTTATTGCTTGGTTGCATTTTGGATGCTACTGTAGACACAAATTTAGTCTCAAAATGCTCAAGGCTTTATTACAGTAATAGGTTTTCCACTTCTCTCATGGGCATTATCAGGATTTCCCTCACTCAGGATCAGTTTGCAGACTGCTGTGTGGTTTGCATTTAAGTTACAATAGAGTTGGCAACATTGCCTGTGGCGCTGAAGGTATTACAATAGGTCAGGAGGATGGAGATGGTTCTGGGCATTTTGATAGTCCAGCCATTTCAACACTCTTACCACTCCATTCCTAAAAGTATAAGCATTCATTCCACAGAGCCTTAGGTGTGGGTCCAAACAGGATCAACAATTGATATTTTCCTGTCTGGAGTGAAGAACAAGATGTCTCCCCCACTCATTCTAGATACAAACAGTTTAATTGTTCTTTGACACGAATGTCTGGACAGTGCTCTCCACTGCTGCTGAAGGCATCAGGCAAGCTTAGGGAGCACAGAGTCAGCTGTGTAGGACACATTCCTCTTCTCCAACATCCTGCTGCCACCTCCCACCATCTGTCATTTGAGGCAACCAAGGTTTCATCTGCCTCATGAATGTTTGCAGGGCCAGTTCTGCTCCCTCACATTCTTTGGTCACACCTCACAACTCTGCCCCAAGTCAATTATGGAAATTCTCACTACCACAGGGGACACTAGGCTGTTGTGCAAACATTCTTTGCCTTCCTTTTCTGACAAGCTCTCCATCCTTCCTTCAGCCCATCAATATACTAATCTGTTAAAGACAATCTTCATTACAAGTTATATTCCTATGCAAAACATGGTCCCAGACACTTTTCCTCAGTGTGCCTTAGGACCATGCACTGTCAGACAAATGTGTAAATATCAGACAAATCAGGTGTACTATACATTTCCAGGACAACTGTGAGGCACAACAAAGAGACTAGTGGCATGAACAGGGGGAGCAGTACCCATATAGACCCTGCTGTCAAATTTGGCATGTTACAATTAAATGTGGGGAAATCGAAATAAAATCTAAGGAAAACATTGGGTAAGTAACAACAGTATGCTGTTTACATTAGAAATGAAACTGCCTTGCCTCTCCTGCAGTAAAGTCACTGATTAAATCATCAAACTCTTGTGATGGCAGCACCACCAATTTCAGATGCGGGAAAGAGGCCAGGGTGTGTGAGAAAGATCAAAAACAAAGCAGAGAATAGGCATGGAATATTAGGACTACATATTTTGCCACTCTGGGAAATAGACCCACAGACCTACGGACACCTAAATGTGGCTCACCTGAAGGAAAGGCCTAGCTGGGAAGGCTTTTTGACCTAAAATAGGCGTAACTTTGCCCTAGCTTACTGTTCAGAAAGGATGTTCCCAGGTAGCAGTGAATCAGCTTCCTTTCTGAACAAGAAGCTAGAGCTGATTTAGGCCTATTAACTACCACAGAGTTCAAACCATCACATGTAGAGACTGTTTTCCAAAGAACATCCTCTAAAATTAACTAGTACATCATAGGAGTGAAGAGTCTGAACTGGGGAGGCCATCTTTAACTGAAATTCCACCTCAGCCATGAACATACTAGTTAGTCTTAAGGAAGCCACTTCATCAGCTTCAGGGCCTTGCCAAAACATTCTGCCACCTGCAGTAAAGCAAAAGATGATTATCCCACCCGATTCCACCTTCAGAAGTCAACTGGATTGGCTGTTGTATCTTACTGGAGATGTGACATCATCTACCTCACCTCAGGGCAGCTGGCTAGCTTAAGACATGCAGGGCAGGTTGAGTGCAACATATAACTCTGTTTGCCAAGAGATGGAACTAGTCGTGGGGCTGCTTCGGCACCCAATACACCAGCTCACATTTGCCCATCTGATTTGCCCAATAGTAGGGCCAGCCCTGGCCAGTTCCAAAAGTGAAATACAGAATGAGATTACTGACTTATCTTACTGAGCTGTTGTAAGGACATTGAAGTAACAAAGCTACAGACATAACGTATACAGTATAAAGAATTTTGACTACTTTGTGATGACTGCTTGGAAATGGGTGGAAATCTGAAATAACTAAAGTGACTGTAAAGTGATATTTAATAAGATACATCTCATAATATTGGGTGACCAAAATATAATAGTCGCTACTGATATAGTCATGTCACTCATTGTTGTCTGCTAATCAAGAGTCCCTTCCAGGTGTTCAAAGTCTGTACAAAGAGCAGCACAGTAGCAAACTCTACCTCCCAACATAGGCTACTGTTGTGCGCACAATGGCAAGATGTTCTAATGAACACAGAAATGGAATCTCCCTTCTCCAGTCCCGCACACTCAGTGTACACACTTTGAACCTATGGCAAATGCAAAGGCAGAGAGCCTTCCCAGATTAGCTTTCCCTCTGTGTATAGTATGTTACAAAGAGCAAATATGAGTGAAGTTTTAAAATGACTATTCAAGTAGTTGATCCCTATATAATCTAGGAATTCAGAATGGTCATCGATGAAGAATAAATCAAAATGCTATAAGAAACAGGATTTCATTGCTTGTATCAGAAGTCAGACTTAGTTAGCCATGGCTGAACAATTTCTTCCAAGGAGGAATTGGTATATTAGTATTATTAAATGTAATTTTGTGGAAGGATGGCAGAGTCTCCATCCTGCCCATCTTGTCTCTTAGGGCAGCACAGGAAATGATCTCTGTGGCAGGGAGCAGAAACTGCTTTATCTTTCTCTTCTCAGAGCATGTAGCCACATTCTGCAGGGCTTTTAGCCTGAGCTCTCTCTTTGCTTCCGGCCCATCGCCATTGTTTCTCATCTAAAAATGTACTTCGGATACAACAGGCACTGTAAATGGGTTAGACAAGCCTGCAGGCTCATAATCTAATTTAAAACAAAATAAGAACATAAAGGAAAAAACAAATCTTTGCTGACTGCTGCCTAAGAAATGGGGTTGGGGAGAGATAATTAAAAGTAATGGGGGAAAGGGAAGAATAAGTTGGTTGCAAGAAGTTATTTGTATTCATATAGTGTGCATTGCAAGAATTTATTTTGACTTACAACCGCAGAATGGACAGCTGCTGTACACATGCTTTTTCCTACACGGAGATTAACTCCTTGTGAGAAAAATGTGACTCATGAAAAAAGGTTTTAAAATGGCTACTTTTTTGGATGCTGTACACAGATACAAAGTGCTGAATATGTGGAACAATTCACTGCACAGTGGACCGAAAACATTACAGGAATTGACTCTAACTCTGGTTTTGAAGAGAGAGAAGAATATATGCAGGAAATAAATCAAAGATGGGTGATAGGAAATCTCATTTCATTTCTGGATCAGATGATGAAAATGCAAAATGTTGCAGGCCTGTGTTGACAACGGTTCTTTAAAGAAATGCTATTGCAGACAAGATTCCGTATTTCCCTCAACTCAAAATTCAAACCAAAGCTTGAAGTGTTAGAAACATTTCCTTCAATAATTCTTTGTAAACTTTCCTCATTCCCTGCTCTCTTGAAGTTCTGTATTATATTAATATATTTGAGAATTGAAGATTTATTGCCTACTGTTCAGTAGACAAAAATCTTCGGTTCTCACACATCTTATTCATAGTGGACAAAAGGCTAACAATATAGGTTTTCATTTATGTTATAAAAAGAGCTAGTCACCAATCTATAAGATGTTGAAAGAAAGATTGTATTTTGGCAATGAATGTTTTTAAAAGAGGTATTAATGTTTAGGGTTCCACTGGGGGTTACTTCATCTCCCATAACTTAATAATCTCATTCATACATCATGACAAACCATACTGTGATTTTCTGTAATCTGGCTTGCTGAGATATATAAAAATGCATCTGCTAACAAGCTATGATTTCCTAATGAGCCACAAGCAGAAATTTCTCTGGTTTCTTTATGCTAACTCAGTTATCAAATTACATTTTATCTCATCTAATAGCAACTAGACCTTTAAACTCAGTTGCCAGCACAATAAGCAATGTGAAATCCTAGATTTCAAATTTTTGAGAAATGAAGATGTGATCAGTATTGTGAACTCTGCAAAACTCACAATCTGAATCTATAGTTTGTTGGCATACAAACAATGGTCTGCTTAAACTGTGGCTTGTTGTGACATTTGAACCTAAAATTATGTCTTGTAGTGGTTACATTTTTAGGTCCCAAGATGTCCTTGGACTACAACACCCAGAAATCCTGGCCAGCACAGCTAGTGGTGAAGATGTCTGGGAGTTTTAGCCCAAAACATCTAGGAACCCAAGGTTGGGAACCACTGCTCTAGAATATAACAGTGACATGGAAATGAGTTTCTTATTTCAGATACAACACAAACATTCAGAGGATAGAACAAAACAAAGATGGTGAAAAAAAACCCCACAGATTCTAAGGGGAAAACCTGGAGAAATACCATGACCAACATCATGTTGCCTAGTGTAGTAAATAACAATAGAGTAGGACCATTGAATAAATTAGGAGCCAATTCTTTCATATGCTCCATTGATTCAAATGGGCTTACTGTACATAAATGCAACTTAGTATGCTAAAGTAAGTTGCAGCTAGCATAGGCCCATTTGAACCAATTGGACTTATAGAAGAGTTGACTCACCAAACACCCATTAATTCTATGGTCCTGCTCTAGTGAGGTTTACTACAATAACCAATAGGGGTTTGGCACATGTTTTTCTCAGATGTTAAGTGTGGGCTGCTTTATCTCTTTGGAGGTAGAAGGCAAAGTTGATTTGGCTTCTGGTCCCAACCCATCTTCTGCTGTGACTTCAGACATTAGAGACACATGTTTTTTTCAACCCATGAGAAGTGGAGCATGCTCATTTCTGCCCTATCCATCATGACTTCATTCATACAAAAGTGACAGATCTGAAGAGGAGAGACTAGTACATAGGTATAGTGTTATGTATTAGCAAGTAAGATTCAATTAAATCCTAGAAGAATATAAATCTCCCAGAGAAGATAACAAGTCACTGGGAAAAACATGATAGCGAGACAGTGCGAACAGGAGAGAAAGATAATGACATTAGGGAATTTCCTCCTTAGAGAAATGCATGATTAACTTCAATTCAAGCAGCGTACTATTAAAAAAGGCAACCATAATTATATCCCTGTGGTGCTGTGGCTAAACTGCAGTACTACAGTCAAGCCTCTGCTTATGACCTCAGTCCAGTCCTGATGGCCTGAGGTAGCTGGCTCAAGGTTGATTAAGTCTTCCATCTTTTTGAGGTTGGTAAAATGAGTACCAGCTCACCGGAGGAGGGGGCAGGAGCAAAGAATTGTTTGCATAATTACACTGTAAACTGCCCAGAGAGTGCTTTAGCACTATGGGGTGGTATATAAGTAAAACAACAACAACAACATGCTTCAGTAAAATTTCATATATACAGACATATGTACCTTCCCATAAATCCACTGTCTGGAAAATATCTGTCGTTCGTACCCCATAGATTTCAGCTGCTTTCAAGAAGTGAGAAATTTGCTCCATTTGCTTGAAAGCCATCTTTGACTCGGTGACCTTTGGGATAGGTTCTTTTCCCTTGGGATGTAAACTGTTTATTAACTTGCAGAGCAGCTGGGAGATTAACGATAGAATTGAAAGGATAAAAACCAATTAGTTCCAGCTCAGAAAACACAGAATGTGCATGTTACTTAGTTTACAGTGTGGATGGTCTGATTGCCATGCACAGATAAAATATTTCTTTTTTTCAAGTCAATAATAAAATATCATCAGAACGATATATAAATTAAACCCATTCTGAACATTTTAAACAGAAAATATGCTTAAGTACTCTAGCTGAACTTTCTATTTCCACAGCTAGAACAAGTATGTATGGATGTACTCAAGCGGACAACATCAAATCATTTGCTAAAAGGTTATATAACAATTGACAGTTGTGTGGGAGAACAGAACACAAAGTGAACTCAACTGTTAGTGCTATCAATTTGGTATGCTGTTAAAAAAGAATGTCACCGGCTAAATAATTTCCTAGTCAAACACCTTCCACACAAATGCCAGCATAATGTTTATTTAATAAATGAATAAACTACAGATTAAGGGCTTTAGAATGTTTTTTTTTCTGCACAAAGAGAGACCTGGACAAGGCAATTTTGTTTCTTGCTGGTTTCTTTAAAAAATAAGAATGAAAACTGTTTCCTTCAGAAAGAAGATAAACCAGGTATTTAAAAGCTTGCCTTTAAAAAAGACATCTGCTGTAATTGTAGGAGAAACAGCAATCTATAGTTACCCTATTACATAATCATCCATCTGTATACACATATGCTAACAATTCGTTCTACAGGCTTCTAGTTACAGTAACGTATACATCGCAATACACACTGCACAATGTATGATCATATTCCAGTTAAAGCATTACTTTTAATGATTTCTACATGACTTATATCCAAATGCTGTGTTCATGACCAATCTTCTAGAGATAAGTGATTTGCTTTGACCGGTGTAGGTCTGGATGCAAACTGGTCAGAAGCAAATGCTACTGTCCACAAATGTTACTACATCTTAAAGACATAAGATGTGATGATGATTACTTACTGTTCCATCCATTAGCCATTTCTGAAAATATTGTCTTCCAGGAGAAGGACGTTCTGTATTTTCACCACACTGTATAATAATCCAGTCCACCAGCCGACCCTCCAGTTCTGGATCATATTTCTGCTCAATTTTCTCCTGGACCTCTCGACTTAAGCCATAGCTTGGTCCTCTGTTGGCCATCTCTGAGAAGGAAAAAACAAACCACACACCACTTTATTTAATTTTCAAAAGACAGATACTATTGAGAGTTTGTTACTGAGCATCTGTTCAAAGCATCCTGGAAAGGGGACTCTAAAGAAAGTGTTGCAAGAAAGTCTGTAAGCATCACCAATAAAAATAAAAATCAGACTTTGCCCCTTTTTTTGCCTATACCTTACAATTATTTTGAAAAGCTTAATAGAGATTGTTTAAAAAAATCTGTTGCTGCTAAGAAGAGATGGTTCAGATTTACATCAGCAAATCCAAATAGTTTTTAAAAAAAGAAAAAAGAGAAGAACAGAAAGGTTTAATACAGGACAACTTTGGAAGATCCTATCAGTGATGCAGGCGAAGGTCTCTTCAGCACTGATCCAGGTCTGGAAATGCGGAGAGCATCGAAGCGAGATAATTTTGATCCTATTTAAGAAGAGATGGAGAAGGCTGCTGCAGTGTTTGGCTGTTCTTGGTACTGCTGCTGTGAAAGCATCGTGATTTGAAGAAAGATGTATTGATTTGATTTTCCTCGCAGATGAGGAGGGTCAAAGCAGGGGCGTTGCTAAGTGCTATTAAAGAGGCCCTCCTACTCTGTCGTAGGCAGGAAGGGAGTCCTGTTCCTCTCAATCAGATGCCACCAGCTCCTTTGCTGTGTACACCTCCACTGCTGTCAGTTCTCTTGTCATTTCGGCTGTGATTTTGTTCTCTGCACTTATACTGCAGCCGTTGTCATAGCGCCCAAGAAGAAAGCTGTTAAAAATACTCTCTGGATTATATCCATCAGTGCAGGTTTTTTCCCCTCCCCTACACAGACTTTTCTTTTCACTCAAGACAAATAATGCCCGGGGGGGGGGCAGAGATTGCATATTCTAGGCTTGAGAGGAAGACTATGGCAGAATGGAGAAAAATTAGTGAAATGTGTCTTCACTCCAAAATGCCATTCCTTGCTGGTTACCACCACCTCCGAATACGAGGCAACAGATCCCTGCAGTACAGACAATTTTATATTCTCTGGAACCTTTTGAATTTTACTGAAGGTGGACACATTTATGCTATTCGGTATTAAGCAAGCAGAAATACTTTTTTTTGTTTGGGTTGGGTTTTTTTGGACAGGAAAGTGGCCTGCTTCAATGCTGAGATGAGCTACAAACACCTCCCCCCATCAGAATATATAATTGTGCAGCATATATTTATGTGCATATATGTCTATAATGACAACTGAGATGTGTAATTGACATATTAGAAGGTTGTAGCCAATCGGACTCTGCCTAGTACTAGCCAATGGATGTTTGAAGGGGTTAACTGGCAGACAGAAGTGAGGTTTATTTCTGTTTGTCAGCATCTAGTCTAGGCTTTGACTGGTATTAATACATTATAAAAGGAAGCTATTATGAAACTCCTACAAGTCTGTCAAGCACAAATCTGTAGCAAGTAAAATGTTCAAATACTGTTAGTTTATTTTTTCAACTTTTAAATATTCTTAAAGATTTTCCAATGAGTAAATGAATATTATTTTAACTGTTACTACAAACTATAAATGTATACCAAATGAGAATCTATGGCGTTTTTTTTATATTTACACTTGATCCGCTGTGTATGTAAGCTCTCAAACATTTTAGCACTAACCCCCCCACCCCACTCCCCACCCCCGTGCACACACCAGTCAGGATACACAGTACCTGAGATGGGACACTTTGACAGAAAATTCCACAGGCATCTCTCATTAGTTGTTGTTGTTGTAAGTGGCCAATCAAATGGCCCACTCTGTCTGCAGGCTTGTGATCTTTATACTACTGTAGTCTTTGTTGTTATGCATTGTTTGCTGAGATCCTCCTTCTAACAACAGGTTGAGTTCTAGTACATGCTTTTGGCCTGCAACACCATCATCCCTTACTGTTGACTATGCTGAACTGGGGTGATGGGAGTTGTTCACTAACATTTTAAGAGCCACACTTTTCCCACCCATTCTAGAACATCAATTGCTGCCTTTGCTTCCTGAAGCATTTTGGCGAGAACGTGCTGATACATCACATGTAGGGAAGCTGAGCTTGGCAAATGTGTTTGTATGATCTGAATTCAACCTAGAACTCCCAGAATCCCCTCAGCTTCTGGAAACTGTAGTCTAAAATAGTTTTTTTTTTCAAATAATGTGAAAGAGTCCCCTGGTCAGCACTGTTTTAAGCTAGGGAAAAATATCTTCAAAGTTTCCAGTTCCACATTATTGAAGCATAACTAACAAACAACAAAAGCCTTCTCTACATAGTATAACATGGGCAAAGCAAGAGGAAGTCTACAGTAGTTTTATAGGTGTAAGAGGGTTATTTTCTATCTATTACAGCAGGCATTCAAAAACACAATGCCTTACACATTGATATTTAATCATGTGAGTAAGCTGTTTGTACCATTAGCTGCCCACAGTAGACTATGTCTAGATGGGTGGCATATAAATGCAATAAATAAATAAATAAATAAATAAATAAATAAATAAATAAATAAATAAATAAATAAATAAATAAATAAATTTGAACAGGTATATGAAGTGACAGAATAGTTTCAAGTAGGCAGAGGTATCAGACAGGGGTCCAATTTATCTGTTCAGTCTGTATGCAGAATATATCATACAGAAAGTCAGACCAGATTTAGATGCAGGATGAATGAAAATTGGCAGAAGCAACATTAATAATTTAAGATATGCAGATGACACCATGTTACTGGTAGAAAGCAACAATGACTTGAAACTACTTTTAGTTAAAGTTAAAGAAGAAAGTGGCAAAGCAGCTCTGTAGTTGAACATTAAGAAAAAAAATCATGACTACAGAAGAAATACACAACTTTAACGCTGACAATGAAGAAACTGAAATAGAGATTTTGTATACAGTACTTTGGTTTCACCATAAATTAAAATGGAAGCTGCAGCCAAGATATCAGAAGACTAAGAATAGCAAGGGCAGGAATAAAGGAATTAGAAAAGACTTTCAAAGTATAAAGATGTGTCACTGGAGATAATCTCCAAGGTCATCCACACACTTGCATTTTTGTATGGGTGTGAAAGCTGGATACATATGGGTGGAAAGCTGGACAGTAAACAAAACTGATAGGAAAGAAATGATTTGTTTGAAATATACTGATGGAGGAGAGCTTTGAAGATACCCTAGACTTCCAGAAAGATGAACAAGTGGGTCCTAGATCAAATCAATCCTCAACTATCTCTGGAGGCAAAAATGTTGAAATGATGCTGTCCTATTTGAGCACATAATGAGAAGAGAGGATTTTCTGTGAAAGACAATAATGCTGGAAAAGGTTGGAGGCAGGAGGAAAAGAAGAATACTAAATACGAGATGGATTAGCTCCCTAAAGGAAGCCATAGGCTTGAGTTTGCAAGAGCTGAGCAGGACTGGTGAGGACAGCACATTTTGGATAAATGTCATAAATCTCTCATTTATAAATCTCTCCACCATAGGTTGGAGGCGACTTGACGGTACATAAGAAAAGCTACTTGTTTTGCCATCTTGCTCATCAAAAGCTCTCTGAGATAGAAAGAAAATAACACATTAACTCGTAAGGCTGAGACTTAAGCACACTTATTGTTCGGTTCACTGACCTCAGTACATACCTAGCATTTTGCTGCACAGAGCCTTTTAATTAAAAAGTTCCCTTGTTCAAATCTGTGACACTGCCTAAGAAAACAACAGCCAAAAAAAATTATTTTCTCATTCCATTTTCAGATTTGCACAGTCAAACCTCCTCCACATGGTTCTTCCCCTACCCCGGAGATCTGATGCTACACTATGAGCTCTCCTGGTTATTATATAATTATCAGTCTCTCCTGGGCTTGAACATATCAAAAATTCAGTGGGTGACCTCATTTGCCTGCAAGCTTTCTGCATTACGTACTGATACATTTTTTAAAAGGCGCAAATACTTTATTTTCCATAATCCAGTTCTTTTAAAGCTCATTTCAGTTCATAAGGGACGTGGTGGCGCTGCGGGCTAAACCACAGAAGCCTGTGCTGCAGGGTCAGAAGCCCAAGCAGTCGTAAGATTGAATCCACACGATGGAGTGAGCACCCGTCACTTGTCCCAGCTCCCACCAACCTAGCGGTTCGAAAGCATGCAAATGCAAGTAGATAAATAGGGACCACCTCGGTGGGAAAGTAACAGCATTCCGTGTCTAAGTTGCACTGGCCATGTGACCACGGAAGATTGTCTTCGGACAAAACGCTGGCTCTATGGCTTGGAAATGGGGACGAGCACCGCCCCCTAGAGTTGAACACGACTGGACAAAAATGGGCAAGAGGAACCTTTACCTTTACCTTTACCTCAGTTCATACACCATGCTTCAGAAGTAACAGGAAGCATCTGAGGTAAATTATTTTTTCCCTTCAAAACCTGTCTTGAATATATACGAACAGCAAGAGATGAAATTACTCTGAAACAGAAAATAATGAGCAGAAATCCTGTTGTCCATAAATACTGTTTCTCCAGAACACAAATAGATATTAATCCACAACTTTCACTTCGAATTCATTTATTAGTGTACCTTTTGTAGCTGTGGAAAAAATAGTTCAACTATGAATCAAAAGTGATTGTGGCTCTGTTGTCTTTCCCTTCTTGACAGATTTTCTGAGATAAGAAAAGCAATAGAAATAATGGTGAGGAAACATGGGGCTGTAACAAATGGAACACGTTGTCTGAAACACTCTGCCAACAAAAATTAAAAATACCTATTGGTAATGTTTGCCTAACTTGCTGTAGCTAACTGCACTAATTGATGAGGTGCTGGATTCAGACAAAACAATACAAAACATATGTGGAAGCACCTCAAGTCTCCATCATTAACTTTAGCATCTACTTTCAGTGGAATGAGTCACACAGACAACTACAAATCCTATTAGCTCTACAGCTTGTGGTGAGGGATGATGAGAGTTGTAAGAACAATATTCCTTATTCTTACCATAGGAATTACAGTTTACAATTGAATTATAATTTGATCAGTATCAACTTAATTTGTGTTCTTTAGGAAATTTTGTGTCAGAGATCGCTATAGCTTGGAATAGCCGACTGTGGAGGAAGAATCTCTCCAGCTACTGATATCCCAGAGCACAGCAGGTCCTATGTGCGCAAGAATCCATCTGCCAAGAAACAGAGAGATTAGATCTGGACATGCAAACTGACCACCTGGTATTCTGCCTAAACTTTCAAACAGCTGATTCTTTTAAATAAGGTGTATAATAAGATCACACAGTCATGACCAGACCAACCAATCAATGTCAGGAGAACTTAAGAGGAGAAGGGGCACTGGATTCTGAATGTAGTTCCATCTGCTCCCTCCACAACAGCTGATCATTACAATTCCTGATTTTCAGACATCAGCAGGCATATGCAGCCCAGCTGCTGTTTCAGCAACTGCAGTCAGTCCTTCTATGGACATAAATAGACAATAAATAAATCAGTTCATCATTTTGCATCCTGATACATTCATGAAAGTCCATGGTAATTTCTTCTAAATAATTATTTTACATTAGGACATTTAATAGTGATGCACTTTAATTCTATAGTTCTAGTATCTATTTAGTTCTACTATGCATAATTGTATCAATCCATATACTTCCCTGGCTCTATTGCCCCCTGCTTATAAAAAAAGTGGTAACTTCAATGGAGTTTGAAGTACGCGTCTTTATTTGACGATCAGAG